AGTTCACACAACTCTACAGAAAAAGATGAAAAATCCCCCTCACTTTGAGATATTAATGGTTTAGTTCAACACTGCCCAACAGAACTTGCTGTGATGATGGAATTGTTGAATAATCAGAGCTTTCCAACATGTAAGCCGTATGTGATGACTGAACACTTGATTTAATCACATTAAAGTCTAAGAAGCATTGATTTAGATCACTGAGAAACCCTAAGATCACTGACACTCTCATTAGACAAATATAATCTGACAGTTATCAACAGCCGCATAACAAACTCATTCCACTTTTTAACTTACTATGCTACACATGATATTGTCAAAGTCCTCAGATCTATGCCTTTAGTAGTTATTAATATGATGACATGTTACTATGTTCTAGTTTGCACCACAATGATCAAGTTGTCAGGTAGTTGGTAATGGCTAGAATTTTAGTACTTAAATAGTGTGGCTACGATTATCTTTGTACAAATAACCTTTCTTCTTTTACATTATTTTCCTGAGAGTTACTCCTTTGGGAGTATTGCCACAAAGAACAGAACAATTTTCCTGAGAACTTGTATCTCATTTTGATCTACTGCTCTCCAGAAAACACAACAGCAACCTGGGTGTGTATCTATTTCCCCAGAAGCACTTTAACATTGAGTTTTGTCACTTGGCTGCTTCAATAGGTATGAAATAGACTTATACTTTCATTCATTCACACTTCTTTTATTAGCAAGACTGAAAATATTCCCAAATGTTGGCTTGATGCTTACATTTCCTCTTAGACATACTATTTGTTCATATCCTTTACGTGTTTATCTAGTAGAGAATGAGTACTAACCTACAGATTTGTAATTGTTCTTTATATTTTTTTTTTTTTTTGAGACAGAGTCTCACTCTGTTGCCCTGTCTAGAGTGAGTGCCGTGGCGTTAGCCTAGCTCACAGCAACCTCAAACTCCTGGGCTCAAGTGATCCTACTGCCTCAGCCTCCCGAGAGCTGGGACTACAGGCATGTGCCACCATGCCCGGCTAATTTTTTCTATATAGTTTTAGTTGTCCGATTAATTTCTTTCTATTTTTAGTAGAGACGGGGTCTCGCTCTTGCTCAGGCTGGTCTCGAACTCCTGAGCTCAAACGATCCGCCCGCCTCGGCCTCCCAGAGTGCTAGGATTACAGGCGTGAGCCACCGTGCCTGGTCTATTTTACTACTTTTGTATCATTTTTTACCATTCATTTAAGAAATAATTTCTTAAGGAAATGGCACTGAGGACTATAAATTAAATTGTATATAGTTTTGCATTAATGCTAAATTTTCTGTATTAATTTAATTATGGTTATGTAAGAGATGGCCTTGTTCTGAGGAGATACATGCTGATATATTCAGGTGGGAAATGTCATGATGTCTGCATACATCAAAAGCTTTAAGCACAAACCTGTCACATGTGTGCATGTATATAAATATAGAAAAAAGAGATAAAGCAATTGAAACAAAATGTTAGCAGCTAGTGAATCTAAAAAATTTTCATGTTTCTTTCCCTCAAAAAAATAAGCGTTATCAATTAGCTGTTAGAAAAATGATAAACATTTTTTTTTAATCTGGGAGGAAATAGTGCTAAGCATGAAGATGGAATTGTAAAGTGACATATATGCTATGATTATGATAACGTAAAAATGGTCTATGCTTATGGGCAAGGTTTGGAAGGGAAAATGAGGACAGTTCTATGTGATAAGGTAGAGCAATTATAGGTAAAGTTTTTCTTTCCTTGTGATTTCTGTTTATTTGAAAGTTCATACAATTAAAAAGGAAAAAGCATTTACCTCTCGACCCAGAGGGGTTCTTCCGCATGTGCTTGCTGTTGCAGATGTCCTGGATGCTTTGGACCACGTCTGCGCTCAGCCCGTGTTCCCTCATGATGGCCAGCACCCTTCTGTCCATCAGGTTGTGGGACTTGAGACAGTTGAGGTAACTACAATTCCCTCGGGTGAAGTGTTCACAGATGTGGAGTCTGTCACACCCAGGCTGCTGGCTACAAATCTGCCTCCGACCCTCTCCCTTATAACTTTTGCATATCTGCAGGAGGGAGAAACGATAGCCAAAGACAAAACACTTTTTATACCCGCCAAACATTCATTAAGGCAAGCTCGGGTGCACAAAAATTTCTGAAGCAAGCAGAGATACACCAAAGGAAAAAAAAAATACACATATATCCCACAGTCTCTGATGAGTTGTACTCAATTGGAGATTTATTTGAGGCAGAAGAGGCCTGCAGACTGACTAAAAGATACTGAAGAATTTGATAACTCTTGGAAGAATCAAAATAAGATGGCTGTCTACGAACAGGACCCAAAGTGAGCCCTATATTATAAAGGAACCCAAAAAAGGAAGGTTCATCTTTGGATATCAACTCACTTAGCAATTACAAGAACATGTGGGTCCGACCTACAACTGTTTGGGAATCCAGAATTCAGACTCTGCTAGGCAGAATGTGACGTTTCTCAAAAGATCGACGAAAGAAGATGATTTTTATATTTCTATCTAAATAGATATATCTACGTATCTAGCTCTACATATATGTAGTTCCTAGTGAAAAGAGGGCAGAAGGAATACTGTCGCTGAGGTCAGGCCATATGAGGCAGGACTGGAAGATGCAGGTTTTACAGTCTGAGGGCCTGGAAGCTGCTGTGTGACCTCAGGGGACCCACTTACCTACTCCCTGCCTCTTTTTCCTTTGCTGTAACAGGAGGAAGATATTTGCTCTGTCTACCTAAACAAAGTTGTTCAGCAGACTAAATAACAAAATACATGAATGTGTTGTGCAAAATATAAAGTGTGATGCAAATATCTGAACCATGAAATGAGGAAATCAATATAATTAGTAAGAAACCTGAATTTCAGATTTTAAAGATTAAAACATTTATAAGCTGTTTCAACAGATTCTGAGAAAACGAGATCAACATGGTTCACGGCAATTTGTCTAGATGGCGAAGCTATGGATTCAGACTCCAGTAACAATGAGTTAGCTACATAGACAACTTCTAAAACCCGATTCAAATAGATACTGGTAATTGCTATAAAGTCTATTGTTCAGATTCTAGACCAGCACCATCCGTGGCA